AAATGGCTTTATCTAGTAGACTTCACTAATAAAGTTGTACCATTCATTTAAGAGTGTTTTTTTTTTTTTTTATTTAATGCATCTGCTCAATATGAAATAAAAAATTGTATAGGAGATGGTGTAGTTCATATGGAAGATGTAAACATCAGTGCCTGTGTAAATTGATGTATATAAATTGATGTATAAACATATATATCTTCTTTTGAATATGTTTTACTTGCTTTTTGTTAGTCTGACACTGGTGCTAGTGATTAGTTTTAAGTCCATTCATAAACCATATAGAGGTTCTTTGTGTCTTCTATATATGAAGCATTACCTCATCGCAAGCAATAGATAGAGATCAAGCAATATAGAGAGAAGATGTTACGAATTATTAATCTCAACAAGCTTCATAATTTTGTTGTTTTGTAATGCAGTGAGCTTAATCAGTGTGCTAAAAAACTATTACATTCTCATGGTCTGGCAGTTTCTCTGTGCTCTCATCAAGTGCTAGGTTAAGAAATTGATGTTTTATCGAGTCTTTTTTCTCTTCCACATTTGAAAATGTGTCTGTCACTTGAGGCGGTTATCAGAAGCTTTTAATGTTATTCACTTGTACTAGGAATTCCTTTTGGTTGTCCTGCTTAGCAGGATTCTCTAAATCTATATTATGTGAATATTGCTTGTACAGTGTACTCAGATGGTTAACGGTAAGATTTTTTGTTTTGTGCACTAACTTTTCGAGCATTGAACTGTGTTCTTTTTTCACTTTCACCTGCTTATTATGTTGTCCTGATTAATAACCTGTTTCACCTCTTCTATATTCGTTGTTGTCTGTATGGTATTATTTCTCACCTTATCCATTTGGCTGAGTTACGTTTGAGATGTTGAACTTGGTGTTATTCTTAGGTGGGTTTGAGATGTTACTATTCTTGATTTGATAGTTTCTTGGAGCCAATTTCATTCTGGATCTTTCTATGTTCTTAAATTCTGTCGAGCATGTAATGACCAACTATGCACTTGCATGATATCTTGTAGGCGTTGTGAAACCCAAGAGATCAATATGGCGTCTCAAAACCATAACTGATTTCTTTTGGGCCATTGTAAACGTCATCGGTGTGTTTTTTACCACCTTGTTCTCGGTAAGTTTTTCTTTATTGCCCCGAAAATAATGTGACCATTCAGAACCATCATCATGGAAGGGAAGATTAATTCTCCATGCTTCTTTCTAGATGGAAAAATCAGAAGCTTATAGAAACGGATCTGGTTCTGGCAAGAAATGGGATGGTGGTGGCCCTGGAGGTCCCGGGTCGGGGCCATATGGTGGTCGTCCTCGCGGTCCACCTCGCGGTCTAGATAATGTTCGAGGGATAGACCATAGTAAGTTAAATGCTGTTTTTTTTTTCCTTTGGTTCTTCATTTCATTTGTTTACTGATGTGAACCTATGGCCACCAGATTCGTTGCCTGCCTGTGGCTCGTGCTGTGGCTAAGATTTGGCTGCTTCGATGGTGCATTTACAAAATGCTGCGTGAAGAAAATGTTTTTGCAATTTAAAATTGTGGAATGTGATGTAAATGTTGATCGAATGTTATCTACAAATATATATTGGTTGCATTCTATGCTATTTGGAAAACTTAATTCCCTAAATCATCATTAAGGTTCCCACTTTAATCTCGCTACCAGTCTTTACAAAGTTGCTTGCCAATGCTAAGGGGACTCTTTCTTCTCATTTTTATATTACCACGTGCAATGCACGTAAAATTTTTTTTAATTATAAGGTAACTTAAATTTTATATAATTTCACGTAAAATATTTTAAGTATAATTATTTTTAAAAATAATTAAGATTAATTTTTATATATATTTATTATTATTGATAGCTAATTATTAATAATAAAATGTATTATTTATAATTATTTTTTAAATATATTATTTATAATTAATTGTTAATGATATATTTTGTAAATAAATAAATTAAAAGTAATGGAAAAAATTATATATTAATAAAAAAGTAAATAGGTATTTTAATATTTTTATTTTTAAATTATTTCAATATGGGTCCTTTATTTTATTTTTTTAATATTTTGTTTGTTTATTAAATATTTGTTTAGAGCTGGCATTTTGTTATATATGTTGAATTTTTTAACTAAATATAAATTATTTTATTGATTTAATTTTATATTATAATTAAAATTATTAAAGAAAAATTCTTCAAATTATATTATTAGAAAATAAAATGACCAAAAGTTTTATATTCCACCTTTTAAGATTCTATACAAATTATTGTTTATAATTAATTTATTAATTAAACATTTTTTTATATATTGACTTCTATGATTGTTTTTTTTTTCAACAATAAGAACATGAGCTTATGATTATCTATATTTTAAACAAATATTCTAAATAAAATTGCTCAAAAAATAAATATTCCAAATAAAAAAAGTACACTAAACAATAAAAAACATTAGTAACAAAAAGAAAAATCCTAAACTAAATAAAATTGCTAAAAAAAAGAAACATTTCAAATAAAAACACACTAATTAGAAAAATAACAATAGTAACAAAAAAAAATCCAAATACTTACTATACACTCATTTTTTAGAGTAAATATGCTCATTCTTGAAGATTGCTTGACATATAATATTATTCAACTTTGTAAAATTGTAGAATGGTAATGTCACAAACCTAGTATTCGAGATATGTAGATTCAACGTATGCCTCCCTTGCAATTTGATGAATATGTCACAAATATCTCGAGATGGTTTCATGATTGAATCATCTTTGAGAGATGTTTGAAGGAACTAAGAATAAAAAAGTATTGAAACTTGTGAAAAACATGTAGAAGAAACCTATTTTTATAGTAGTAGAGGATAAAACGTTACAAAAGCTTTTCAAATTTTAAAACTCTTGAAATTCTAGTATGAATTTTAATTAAAGAAAAAATTAATTTTATGTTGTTGGAAAACTTTTTGCATTCTAACTTTTTATATTCCATGCATTTATAGTATGGATAATTAATAATTAATAATTAATTTAATATTTGTAATAATATATTAATGGTATAATTTGTAATTTGTAAATTTAGTAAAGGGCAAAAGTGTCCAAAAATGTTTTTCCTACATCCTACCTTTTTAATATAGTATAGATATAGAT